GGACGTCTACAGCTGGTGGTAGAGTTCAACCCTTTGGCAGGCAGATGGGTTAATGGGGAGAACTTTTGGCACTGTTCGCATTTTTTTACATAACTCTCCACGTCAGCTCTCATTGTCAGCCAATAATACCCCTATGTTATAGCTCGATGGGCCAGGAAGCGTCCACCAGAATGGGCACCACAATTGCCCTCATGTATCTTTGTCAGAAGCTCCTCCACTTTGTCGAGGTGCACGCATTCCAAATATGGACCAGAGATGGACTTTTTATAAAGCCCTCATTGCGGATCCAGATAGTATCGCAGGGCTTTATTTCGCAGCTTGTGTGCTTCTTTTTTTGTCCTCTAGGAGTTGTTCAAAAGAAAGGAATGACGCAATGGGGTCCATCCAGCTTGGTGCGGATTCTATAATATTGACATGGATTTCCTCCGAAGGGCCAATACTCGGCTCCGGGATGAAACCTACTTCGATGGTCCGTTTGATCTCAGAATTGATTGCGGAGGCTAGGCACGCCAAGGCATCCACGTGTGTGTTCTGGTGCGTGTTATTTGGTTCAGTTCGTGATGGTCAAATTTTGCCAGCAAGGAATTGGTCGTTTTCATGTACGCCGCCATACGGTCGTTTCTTGCCGCGTACTCCCCCTTTAGCTGACTGATTACCAATTTTGAATCACAAAACACAAGCAGACGCCGAGCGCCAAGAAGGTGCGCATTCCGCAGACCGACTAGAAGGGCTTTGTATTCGGCTTCGTTATTTGATGCTTCAAAGCCAAGCTTGACGGCCTGCTCAATTACTGCGCCGTCTAGAGACATGATTACAACTCTGGCGCCGCTGCCCCTTTGGTTAGACGATCCATCACAGTATAATTCCCAAATATCCCCGACATAAATTCTCCAGTTCGGCTTTGGTCGAACTTCAGCCTTTGGTCAAACTTCGTCAAGTTTGAGGTTGGCAAGCTCGCCGGTGAATTCGGCAACAAAGTGGGCCAACACCTACCCCTTGATTGCGATTTTAGGTAAAAACTGAATGTCGTATTGGCCGAGTTCAAGAGCCCACTTTGAAACATGTCCTAATGCTTCTGCACTCCGTAGTACTGATCGGAGAGGATAATCTGTTAGCACCCCAATACTATGTCCCTGGAAGTAATGCATCAGTTTTCTTGCCGCCATGACTAGGGCTAAGGTGAGTTTTTCCAGCGGAAGGTAGGTCTTGAGTCCGTTGAAAGCTGTTTCGCATTCGGCGGACCATTCAAAGGCCTTACCCTGCCATAGTGTCAGAAAAAATTGTCGGCAGCGATCTGTAGACCGGCTGATGAACCTGTTAAATGCAGCGGCCATCCCCATCAACTTTTGGACTTCTTTTACAGAACGGGGGGAGCCGAGTTCCAAGATTGCTGTGACTTGCCTCATGTTGGCTTCGATTCCTCGGTGATTGACGATGTAACCTAGGAATTTGCCAGAGCCGATTCCAAACACACACTTGGAAGCGTTCAGTTTCATTCTGTATTTGCGTAAGATGCTGAATGTCTTTTCTAGATCGGCTATATGATTCTGTTCTTCTTTGGACTTGACCACCATATCGTCGATGTATACTTCCATAGTGCGGCCGAGTTGCTCTTTGAACATGGCGGTGACCAGTCTTTGGTAGGTTACCCCTGCATTCTTTAGCCCAAAAGGCATAACTTTCAGTAGGTTCCTCTTAAGGTGAAGAATGCAGTTTTGTCCTGGTCATCTGGATGCTTGGCGATTTGATGGTAGCCTCTGTAAGCATCAAGGAAGCTGATCCGTTGATGGCGTGCCGTCGCATCGACAAGCTGGTCGATTCTGGGTAGAGGAAAACAGTCTTTGGGGCAAGCCTTGTTCAGATCCGTGAAATCGACGCACACTCGCCAAGTCCCATTTTTCTTCTTCACCATCACTGTATTGGAGAGCCACGTAAGGTAAGTGACTTCTCTAATTGCCCCGGCGTCAAGCAGTCTGTTTACCTCCTCAACAACGGCGGTAGTGTGCTCCGCGGCTAACCGCCGGCCTTTCTAAATGATCGGCTTACATTTGGGATCGACATTCAGATGGTGCTGTGAAACTAACGGGTCTATTCCCGGCATTTCGTACGGAGTCCACGCAAAGACGTCGAGGTTGTTGAGCAAGTAAGAGATCAGCTGCTGCCTGTCGGCCTGATTCAGAGAAACGCCGATCATGAAGAACTTTTCTGGGCTTCCATCGATGTCAACTCAGTCTAAACCTTCCGTAGCCTTCTCATTTGGATGCCGCCCAACGTCATCAAGGATCTCTCGATTCGGCACCTCGATGGAGTTTACATACAGTTCCTTTGGCGTTTTGGCGGCAAGGAGATAACATGCTTGTGCCGATTTCTGGGAACCGCAGATTTGCTCAATTCCATGTTCTGTTGGGAAACGTAGCAGTTGATGATAGGTGCTTGGGACGGCTTGCAAGGTATGCAACCACGATCGTCCCATGATGAGATTGTACGGCGATGGAAGCCTGACGACCAAGAATTCCACATCCACCATTTTGGAACCTACTCAAACGGGTAAGCTGATCTTTCTCAATGGATACTCTGGATTGGCATTGAAGCCGAATAGTGGATAAGGAGTTGGAGTCGGGTCTGACTCGTTGAATCCGAGTTTGATGAAGGTTTTATAATATATAACCTCCGAAGTACTGCCCTGGTCGATAAGAACGCGTTTGACGGTGAACCGGTTTACGCGTAGCTCAACAACCAATGGATCGATGTGAGGGAGTGTTAAGCTAATCAAATCAGAGTCGTCAAAGGTGATACTTGGCGTTTCTCGGAGCCGCTTTGTTGGCGTGAGTTGCTATTAGGGGCCTGGATGTGATTGGATCGCATGCACGGCCGGGGCTGCTAGCCGGCTGTATATCATGTGGATGGTGTCAAGCGGAAATGCATCATTCGGAAGGGCAGGTGTTTTGATCGCACTTCTCCGGACGCATTGTTAGAGACGTTCGTCTTTTGCCAACTCCTCAAGATGATCTGTTAAGGTATAGCGGCCGTCAATTTCTTGCTGTCGAGCGCGAGATCGTCGATCATCTGCCCTCGGGGGTCGCTTAGAAGCCTGGCGCACCGTTTGTTTGGATTTTGCTATTTCCGAGGCCAGATCGGGACGAAGGCGTTCGTTCTCAGCGATGATGTTGTCCAACCTCTGTTTGGTTTGCCTAGCTTGTGTCGTGGTCGCTTGTATTGTCATTTGCGTTGGGTTTGAAGATGAGCAGAGCTGCGATGGTTTGTGGTCCAAGCGAGTTTGCTGGAGTGAGGTCATCTCTCTGTGTGGTCTCGTCAGTGGCTATCGGAGGATCTTCAGTCACGCCTGCCATGGATGTATTTGAGTATTCACACAGACGACACCAGTTGTGGAGAAGTGGTTTGGAAATACTTTTCAGATCCTGGGAGACACTAGTGATTCTCAGCTAGTCACCTGAAAAGATACAATTAAACCTGTCGGGGGTGCCAGAATTAGCACTCCGACGGACAAGTTAGTTCAGACACTCAGGATAGCTTGTTTACTAAGTTACGTAAAGTGATTCTTACATACCTTTCTAAATCTGTGGTTCTTGTATTTATATTTGCTTCTTGGGCCTCAGGGCCTGAGCCTACTTTTATCCCATTCTCCTTGTATTTATTCGGAGCTACTGATCTCCGGCTATTCAGCCTTCCTAACGCATTCGGCATCCTTGTCACGCAATATGGAGCCGAATAATATCTGATTTCTAGGGTACGCACCTTCCGACTCTTCTATTTATTCGGCTCCCACAGTAGTTAACAAGACACTCAAATTCAACATTATTACATTCCATGGATGCACAGTTCTAGAAAAACCAAAAAAAAAAATTGTTATAAGTGTTCGGAAATACAGAGTCGAGCTAAATTCAAAAGTTCGACTGTTGAAAATCGAACAAATGCTATAAGTTCGAAACTTATTAATCGAACATGTGGACAATGTTCAACACTAGAAAATCGAACAATTAGAACTTCTTCGATTGTAGATAGTCGAACATGAGTCATTGTTCGAATCTGGGTATCCGAATGAATACAAACGGTTTACCACTTAGCAAGTACACGAAAATGAAAAAAAAAAAAAAAAATTGAAAAACTAACCTTTTTCCTTGCTCCATTGTTCCAAACCAATATTGCCATATGCATCCATTATTCAATCCAATCAAAATCTTCAATAATACGTATATTTTTGGTTGTTTCTTTAAGGGTTTTTGGTTTTTGTTTCATTAATGTTGTGTTTGGTTGTGGGATTTGGAGAGAAATTTGGAAAGGGAAATGGAAAAGGTAGGTGAAATGTGAATAAATCATGCCTATATTTTGCATAGTTTCACACACCTTTTCCCTTTCCCTTTCCAAATCCCTCCACAAATCCCCCAACCAAACACAGCATAAGGGTTTTTGGTTTTTGTTTCAGGGTTTTTGGTTCTTGAGAGAGAAGATACATAAGTAACGTTTCAGAAGAGAGGTGTGTATTGTATTCATTATTGTCCTTTATGGTAATTTTATGTAAGGTGTGTATCATAGCCCTTTGTCCTTTGTGGTCATCTTATATTAGATTAATATTGTAATAAAAAATAAACTAATTAATTGTGTGCCATGAGATGAAAGGTGGTGTATAAATAGAGGCACCCTTGGACCTTTGGGTAAAAAAAATTTAAAATTGGTTTTTTCACCCAAGTGCCCTTCTTTTAATTAAAAGCAAAACAAAATATTACCCTTAAATATTATTTTATATACTTTTTTAATTAGTTGGATGAAAAATATGTAACTAATTTTCATTTTTTTAAAGAACTTGGAAAACTTTATATTAATAAAAGACAATAACAGTACATAATCAAGACCCCAAAGTGCCATCCCAACCAAACAACAAAACAAAAAACAAACAAACGACAAACAAAAACAAACAACAAAAAAGGAATCCGCCAAAAATAACAGTTACAATCCAGGGAAAATCACCGATTTGCTCAAAGATGTGGTCTGGAAAGCAAGATCTGCTTGAAAGCCCGCCATCCCCATTGACGTCGTTCTCGTCGCTGCTGTCCCAACTCCACCACCGCTGCCGTCGGAGAAGGAAGGACACCCACAATGGTATGAGAAAAGGGTTGAGAGAGGAGGGAACCATTGTGAGTGTTGAAAAACCAAAAATCTATGCCGAAATCAGAGGAAAAAACTCTCAAAACTCCCATTTCAGACATAAAAAGTCTAGATGTACACACTAAAACTGTAGAACTATACTCTAGGAGTGTAGATCTATACTTTAGAAGTGTAAAATGAGTCGGCCGAAATGTTGCCGGAGGATTGTCGGAGCATTGCCGGAGATCTCTTGGAGAGAGAAGCTCTACTCTCTCTCTCTCTCTCTCTCTCTCTCTCTGTGGAACTTTTTACAACTAATTTTCATTAAATAAGTTGTTATTGTCAATTTTATATTATGCAAGTTTGACACTTATTTGTGTTATAGGTCATGCCAAATTCATATTCATACAAAAAAATAATGAATCTTAACCCACTAATTTCGTATATTATTCGAATTGTATTATCCTATTATATCAAAAAAATTCACCTCTAGCTCCAAGCTTCACCTCTAAAGCCTTTCATGGCCTTGATACTCAACTTTCTCTTTGCAATTGCATTGTCCTTCTTCAGTAGTATGGTTTGATTCATTAAAATGAAACGGAATGGAATGATCATTCTATCAAAATCTTCATTCTTATATTTGGTTAATTAAAAAAAGAATGACAAAATGCATTACAAATAGAATCATCATTCGCTATTTCAAGGGGATGATCATTCCATATGAGAGCGCCTAAGAATGATCATTCAATTCCGTTCCAACTCATTCTATTGAACCAAATAAAGCATAAATGTATCAGTTTCAGTCCACTTGTTTAACAAATCGTTTACATTAGTTTGGTGCCAAATTTGCAAAAACTCCGATCAATTCAAACCGATTCACTTCTCCTGGATGAAAAGTGATTTTTTTTAGTAATTTTTTGCTTAAAATATGAGGAGGGAAAAATTAAAATGTATAAGAATGATTTTTTGATTTTTTTTTTATAAAAAAAAAATGTGTAAAAAGTAAAGAGAATAAAAAGAATCTTTAACTTTATATATATATATTTGACTTCTTTAATAATTTTCTGCTAAAAATTTTATCTTTCCGAATGCAGTCTAAGTATTATCATGTTAGGTACTAAGTGAGGTACGTTAATGTCATTTATTTCCCCTCCAAAATCACCCAAAATTATCTTCTTTTGTTTTTTTGGAAATCCACTGTGATTTTCTAAACCTGATTCTAATCATTACTAATCTATAGTTAATATTTTGTGTTATCTAGATCTAATGATCCATATATTTTTTGGAGAAAAATAAAAATAGGGTTCTTTGAACAAAAGAAATCCTAAATTTTTAATTTTATTAATTTAAATCATAATATTTTGAATTTATTTTAATCTAAATAATTTGCCCATTTTTGTTAAGCAAAATTGACAGTAAAAAATTAATATTTTCGTATACCTACATTGACTATAATAACTAAAATATCATTTTTTTAGTCAATTTTGCATAACAAAAAATAAGCAAGTAGTTTAAATTGAAAATAAATCAAAATATTAAGGTTTAAATCGAGAAAATTAAAAATTTAGAATTTTTTCATGATAAATTTATTTTGTTACAAGGCTTAAACCCTAAGAGTATATATATATATATATTATAATTTTCACAATATTTTTTACCCTTCTTCAAATCTTTTGTAAAAAATAAAATTAGTATATGTTTAAAAAATAAAAATAAAAATATGGCAATCTAAGATAGCATAAGAAGTGGCCATTCGATGGCAAACAGAACTCAGAAAAACAACAAACAAAAATTTTTTATCCTTCAAATTTTGGCCATCCATCCATCATGGTCACAAAAACTATTATTATGCTACCAAAATCAATTCAACTTCTCCATGTGTTTGTGGTTGTGCTTTCACTATTATTATTAAACTACATACCTGTTCTTGGACTCTCCTCAGGAGGAGTTGAAGCTGCTAATAAAATCCGGTGCATAGAGAAGGAGAAACAAGCTCTCCTCAAGTTTAAAGAAGCTGCCATAGATGATTATGAAATTCTCTCTTCTTGGGGGAATGAAGAAGCTAAGAAAGACTGTTGCAGATGGAGAGGAGTCCATTGCAACAACCACAGTGGTCATGTAACCATGCTCGATCTTCATGTACCGATGTATGGTCCTTATGACCATTTGAGCGGTAAGATTTCTCCTTCATTGCTTGAATTGCAGCATTTGAAGTATTTAGATCTTAGCGGAAATTCGTTTGAAGGGCGCTTCCCAGAGTTCATTGCTTCCTTGAGCAGATTACAAGTCCTCAACCTCAATGCCAATTACTTTGGTGGTCCGATTCCTCATCAGCTTGGGAACCTTTCCAACTTAAGGTATCTTGATCTCTCTTTTAATCATCTAGAAGGTCCGATTCCTCATCAGCTTGGGAACCTTTCCAACTTAAGGTATCTTGATCTCTCTTTTAATCATCTAGAAGGTCCGATTCCTCATCAGCTTGGGAACCTTTCCAACTTAAGGTATCTTGATCTCTCTTTTAATCATCTAGAAGGTCCGATTCCTCATCAGCTTGGGAACCTTTCCAACTTAAGGTATCTTGATCTCTCTTTTAATCATCTAGAAGGTCCGATTCCTCATCAGCTTGGGAACCTTTCCAACTTAAGGTATCTTGATCTCTCTTTTAATCATCTAGAAGGTCCGATTCCTCATCAGCTTGGGAACCTTTCCAACTTAAGGTATCTTGATCTCTCTTTTAATCATCTAGAAGGTCCGATTCCTCATCAGCTTGGGAACCTTTCCAACTTAAGGTATCTTGATCTCTCTTTTAATCATCTAGAAGGTCCGATTCCTCATCAGCTTGGGAACCTTTCCAACTTAAGGTATCTTGATCTCTCTTTTAATCATCTAGAAGGTCCGATTCCTCATCAGCTTGGGAACCTTTCCAACTTAAGGTATCTTGATCTCTCTTTTAATCATCTAGAAGGTCCGATTCCTCATCAGCTTGGGAACCTTTCCAACTTAAGGTATCTTGATCTCTCTTTTAATCATCTAGAAGGTCCGATTCCTCATCAGCTTGGGAACCTTTCCAACTTAAGGTATCTTGATCTCTCTTTTAATCATCTAGAAGGTCCGATTCCTCATCAGCTTGGGAACCTTTCCAACTTAAGGTATCTTGATCTCTCTTTTAATCATCTAGAAGGTCCGATTCCTCATCAGCTTGGGAACCTTTCCAACTTAAGGTATCTTGATCTCTCTTTTAATCATCTAGAAGGTCCGATTCCTCATCAGCTTGGGAACCTTTCCAACTTAAGGTATCTTGATCTCTCTTTTAATTTTTATCTAGAAGGTCCGATTCCTGATGCTTTTGGGAACATGATATCCCTTGTACATCTCAATCTCTCTTTTAATCAGCTAGAAGGTGGCATTCCAAAGTCGTTCGTCAATCTAAGTCATTTACAATCGTTAGAAATGAGTTTCAACAATTTAACAGATGAACA